GAACTGTTCAGGTGTACATTCTGTCGATGGGCAGGCATAAACCACCTCGAAAACAGCCAATGCGATGTATGGATTTTCACTACTCTTTTCAATGCTTTGAATTTGGACCCTACTAGAACAAGAACAATGGCTGGGGTTTTGGTTTTTGCATCTATCATCATGCATAAGCCTTAGCAATTGATTTATTCCAGATTCAATCCTCTCCGGTTGGATTCCATCCTCTGGCCACACGTGGACATCCATGGACAACTGGACAAAGTACGGTGGCGATTCTGCCTCCTGTGTTAGTGATTTCCAATACCTACAACAGCCTCTAATCACCATTTTCACCATATTTTTTATGGGAAGGAAGAGCTTGTTCGCCTTCTCACTCCACCCAGATGCCACGAGGTCCTCCTTTGGGTCCAAGAGTCTCCTTTTCCAATTACTGTATCCTAGAGAAAACCATTCACCATCTTTTGCTGTTATAGAGCTCTGTAAGAGGGTAAACAAGTAGACCAGAAATAACGGCAGCGAGCTTATTACAAAAGCAGATGTTATCCGTTTTGTAGGAAAACCCAACTCTTGAAGAGTAGTTGACTGGATGCTGAAACCACAGTGCTGAATAACTATTTGATAAAGATACTGGACTAAAATGTATATCTCTGTGTAGATTAGCATGACGACCCAAAAGATGTAACTTGGCCCAGTATTCACACAAAGAGCATATAAAAAGAGAGCTGCCAGGTACACCATAGAAAGCAAACTGAAATTCCAAAGGAAGACGAGAAGAAAGCAACAATAGCATACAACATCATTATTTGAACGCATCTGGGACCATATGTGATGGAAGATTCTCCCAATTTGCAAACTTGCTGTTTCAGACGTTCTACTCCTATCAGATTGCAGAGAAGAAGAACGATCCAGATGAGTGTGTGTAGCATTTTCACCCTCTCTCTCATAAGATATTCCATCCCCAGCAGTTGAGGTCCCATTAGAATCAGAATCATCTTGTGGAATGTTCAGAAAGCTCACAATATTGCTTACAGCCTGATTTCCGATGGACTGTACTTGAGAAACACCATCACCAATCAACTGTACTGCAGAAACCAAAGGGTTATCCTTGGATTGGCCTTTTCTTTTGTTTTCTTTATCCGGGTTCAAAGTATTATGACCTGCATCTTCTTCAATTTCACTTATCTCACATATAGAAGCTACCATCGGGTGATTCATTAGTTCTGTCGCCAATGGGCTTTCTGCCCTAGCACTACTTGGAGATTCAGGGAAATCATGAGAAAACACAGGGTCTGAATTAACATTTATCTCCAGTTTATCTGGGTGTCTTTCCCCTAAGTTCGGATGTGAAAGATTCTTCCTCCTCCTTAAACCCTCACTAGCAGGAGAAGTGTCACCACGAGTGGCAGCAGAATTTGCTTCAGTACTATGAAGCTGTATTTGTAGGTTGAGCATCTCTGATTTCATCTTCTCCACTTGCAAATTTCGCTGGCGTTTCTTCTCCTCAGATTCACGAATGTGCTGTAACTGTGCAGTCTTCCAGGCAGCTTTCTTCTCTTGCTCGCGTACAACAGCACCAATTTGTTCCGCCTCAAGATAACGGAACACATAATCAAATTCTGGGGAAGAGAACATGTATGATTGCAGTGCGACAAGCACAAAAATAATGATCTCGACCAAAGCTGATCTCGAGGTAATTCGAAAGCCATAATCATATTTGTAGAATCCAATCATCTCATAAATGTAATCTATTGTTTCACATTTTCCCGCATTGAAATCACCAATAAATGGAGACTGATAGGCCAGAGAGAGAACTATAACAGCAAAATTGTATATGCGAAGATACTTGAATATCTTATTTTTCTTTTTCAAAATCGTAAGTCTCATTCGGAAGAAGATCAGAGCAAAGCCAAGATATCCAAGATGCAGAATATCATACTCGAGGGTACCTGTTATCAGAATCAAAGCAAGTACAAGATCCAAAAGATGACAATAGCAGTAGAGCCTCAAGTAGTCAAGAAAGGTCCACATGCTTTTGGTTTCAAATGATAGATCTCGCCACACAAAAGAATTCTTGCGCTGTGAGACCATCTGACGGTACGTAAATGACCCTGATAAACTGGATGTGCGATCAGCATGGAGCTTGAAACATGCAAGCATGAAGACCACATAATAACTGATCAGCATTCGAGGGTCATCAACAGTAAGCCCTGTCACAAGGAAAAGTCAAAAGCAGCTCAGCAAGTACGACAAAAAGGTTTTCGGCAAAACATCCAGAACTACCAGCTACAGGCGTTAGATCTGAAAGTAGATAGTTAAAACAATACGCAAAAAAAAAGGATATTTTGTTCCAGTAAACATGTCAATAATTTGTTCAACTGTTTGTTCATCTCAACTATTTGTTCTCCAAGTTAGTGAAATTCAAATCCAAAATGGATAGGTTCTGGAATTTTTTTTCTCGATAAGGTAAATAATTTTATTAATAATGGGAAACTATCCCGTATACAAATAGAATACCAAAAAGGAGAGAATCTCCTACGTAATGTGTTTTTCTTAGTTTTTTTGGTACACCAATGAGGTTCCAATGTGTATAGAAGATTATTCGGTGTCTTTTATAAGGAATCGTATTTCTTTGTAGGTTCTCTACTTTTTGGTACTTGTATGCAGGTTTATTCCCATACATCAATAACTTTATTGCTACCTTATCATTAGAAAAAAAAAACAGGAACATTTTAGAACATAGGGATAATGCATGGAGGTAAAAGAAAAATCAGATGTGGCTGAAAAATGCAATGCCAAATACTACTGAAAGAATCATACCAAGCCAACACTTTTTACAATAATCAAAATATGCATCCGAGCTGCTCCAGCAATCATGACAATGCACGGACTGATTTGGTAGGTGCTTATTTAAAGGCATCAAGCTCTTCCACATGGCAAAGTACTCCAGCAGAAGAATCAAAGTAAACAAAAATACAAAAATCGGCCAAACTTTACGAATGATTCGTCGTCTCAGAAGAACACAAGCAGCTAGCAAAGCAATGTAGAGCAAGGAGACAGCATTAAGTAAAGCAAAGCTGGCGAGAAGCAGTCCAACCATATTGATCTCAAGCCCAAAGAGGTTGAACATATTCTCCACCCAAAACTTCAAATAAATTTTCAAGGTAGCCTTCTGCATTTCAAGTCTTTCTTTTCTCAGTGCAAGAACAAGCTTCTTATTCCATTTATGACTCTCCTTTCTGCTTCCCCAGATGGAACCAAAAGAATATTTTCTTCTACTGCTATCATCAGAGACTCCTGTTGTAGAGGACACGTCATGAGATGATTGATGGATATTCTGGCCAAAGTATGGCCATGACTTGCTTGTTGCCCGCATCCCTTGTGTAGACAATCCACTGGAGTTTGCAGCTGGCTTGTTTTCCCCATCGGAAACTAAAGGCAATATATCTTCTTCTGAGACAAACAGTGGACAAGGTTCCCCAGATCTAGTGCCATTTAAAAGAGAAGTTGGCATCTTTTCCAACCAATGGAAAACATTATACTGAAGTGTACATGCAGCAATCACCAGCACTTTAGCCCTCAAACCTGCTTCAAGTCCCCAAAAGCTTGGTCTATATACCTCAAGGCCCAAGATAAGAGATAAAGCATAATGCTTTTGACCAGGAAACATCCCAGCCTCTTTACCCCACATCTGAAACAGATATTCAGTGGCCACTATAAGTCCAGTGTAAATCAAGAACAGCTTGGATGGTATTCGGGAAGCTTTTGGCAGGGTTGAACAGAGGACAAGACCCAGAAGATAGAAAAGCCCAAATGCACTTATTGGAGATAAAGATGCATAAAACAGTGCAACGAACAAAATTTTTTGACTGTGCCAAATGAGAAACCGTCTGACGAAACCAAATATCCCAAACTGTGATGGACCAGGATCTTCCGAATGGATGTATTTGCTTTGTCGCCTTTCATAGCTATACATTTGCATTACAATTACAATTGCAAGAGACTGCCATACATTTTCCAATAGTGATGCTTCATGGTCATAGCCAAGGTACAACTGAATATCAAAATTTCTGGACATCCAGGCCTCAAAAGTTGGGAAAATGCTCAAACTATAGATGAGAACAAACACTAAAATTCCATAGAGTTTTAATGGATACCATAGGCGTCTTTTTGTCTTCTCGACTAGTTGTCTTCCAATGATCCAGAGGAGAAGAAGGAAGATGTACCCAAAAGATATGTAGTTGGGTTTCACCAGATACACAGTGATAAGAATGGTCACAAAAGCTATATAGGTTCCAAATGATCTATATACAGACAAAAATTTCTTCCCTATGGCACTGAGGTATGAAGCTATCCTTTTTTCTGCAAGGAAATCAACAACATTAGGATGAGACGGTAGTGTAGGACCAATTACGTTTAATACATCAGAATTCATACAATGACAATATCCCAACACTAAACAAGATAATTTCATGAGTATACATTGCTACTCCTTCCGTCGCATTTTACGTGGCGGTGTTTGATTCGGCACGGAGTTCAAGAAAGAAGGAAAAACTTTTGAAATTTATGATCTACAATGAGTCATAGATATTTGTGTGGCTACAAATCATCTCATTCAGGGTAAAGTAGGAAGTTTTAAGTTAGATTGTTTCTAAATAAGGAAGTATGATATTCTTTTCGAGACAGACTAACAAGTAAAGCATGACACATAATTTGGGACAGAGGGAGTATTACTTGAAGTTCCAAAAGAAAATCAGTCAATTTGTCTTCCAATGACATCTATCTGCTGCACACAAGTATTCATCAGAAGGTTACTAGACCATGAGAAAGCACATCTGAATTGAATATGCAGTGACCGATGATTTAATTTCTTCCTTGCACATTAAAAACACACAACCATAAACGAATTAGCGGAGAGAAAATCATACCATGTGAATGATCATGATCATGGTCTCTACTGCTGGAAGAGGCATAAACAGACAACAGGACTGATTTGTTCAACCCAGCTTTTAAAATGCTAAATCCCACAGGAGGACAGGGTGTATGCTGTACAATGGCTGAAAATGAGAATAACACATCAAAGCCATGGTTATGAACTGCACAGAAGCATGCAAGCACCGCTATTTCGAGGAAGTCCCAATAGCTATCACTTTGGAGGAGACCTACAGGAGTTTGGAAGGATGCATCAAAGAATGAAGAAAAAGCAAATTCAATTAAGAAAGAAAAGGTGCAAGAGCAAAGAGAAATGAGTTAACGATTCATCCTGTAGAGGAAATCAAGACCATGCAAATCAAAAGAATACATACCCAACTGAGATAGGATCACCATACTCAATGAGCTTTCACGTTCCAGTGTTTTAGAGATCAGATTAAGCTGAAGAATATACAGGATGGCAAAATGAGCCTCGCATAGAAGGATTAAAGACTGGCGCATCTTTTCATTGATATCGTGGCTCAGAAGATAAACAAAAAAGAATACCACTGAAACAATAGAAACAATCAATTATGACCTTGCACCAGATCATGCACCACATATGCATCTAGTTCAAACTCCTTTTTGTTCCATTACACTATATGAGATGCATCAATAGTCAAACCAGACTGTCTGATACTACTTACTATACACAGCATGGATGAATCCAGGTTTTGTTGCAATAAGGAATATTAATACTAGCATAATAGCCCGAGAACATTTCCGTAATCCCCAGGCAACTGTTGCCACAATCAACACTTTGGTCTCTTCTTTCACTGCAATAGAAGAAGAGAACACACAGGTATGTCACTGAAGTGTAGGGGAAAATGAAAAATCTAAGCGAAAGGCACAAACATTATAGAGCAGAAATTATCTTATATATTCTTCTTGTGCCCATTTCATGAATCAAAAGAATTCCTGATCAATAATAAATCAAGGAAAGGCCAGAAAATTATGAATCCTTTACATGCTTTCGACAGCAAACAAACAACTTCTGCATCTTCTAATGAAGATATGACCAGATTACACTACAGAAAGTTCAAAGCATCAAACCAAGTGTGTAGCTAACCAAAAAAGCAGCCAAAATAGCCAGATACATGGCACTCAATCTATGTGACTCTTCCAGATGATTAATGTATAGAAAACAATGAAACTCACCGCATTCAACATTCACTGAAATAACAGAAGAGAATAAGTAATCACGATCTCACCCATTTAGACGGTGAATCAATAAAATTAACACTCCAGACAATAATAGAAATAGAATTACTTTGTGGTGGCAAGTGTAAGTTTGCTTTTAGCCAATCAAAAGACACTATAGTTCTGCATGGTCGGTGTGTCACACTAATTTTGGACACATACAAATAGTAATATTAATGAAGGTCCGATTTATGATGTAAATCCTAGAGCACGACCCAAACAAGTGAAAGAATTACTTTAGCAATCTGCCACCATTCTGCTAATAAGAGGACTACATATACACCCACCAATATCCATATGCATATCAATATTTCAGAACTTCCATAATCCTAGCACTAAGCGCATGCCACCTTATTCTCCAAGATACGTAAGTAAGTTATTTTAACATCACAACACTAGACCCACAATGACGGCGAGTCAACCCAGAAAATGGAAGTCATCCTCAAATAAATTGTACATGCTGGCTGAATCGTCATCCATAACTTGGAACTGTATCATTCTCTTTTTCAAATCAATAAAGCAGCATAAAGCATATATTTTATCTGGACACCAGTATTTCAATGTTCATATTAAGGAAGTCCCAACCCTTCTTTACTCCTACCACAAAGAGCTATATATACAACAATGCCCAATTAGCATAAAACTACCACGCTAGCTTAGCTTACTCAACTAGTATAGGGGAGAGTATCGAAGTCTGACTGAGTAAATACGAGGACACAGTTCTATTTTCTGATTGAGATTAAAATAGCTATATGTACCTTCTTCACTGAAGCTGTCACTTGATGATTGGTTTTCTTCATCTGACATGCACAGAAAAACAGAGTTATTTACGAGATTACCAACTGCAACAAGGATTCCAAGGAAAAACTGTGCGAGCAGGAAGAAGCCAGGAATAGGATAATGCCACAACCCAACCATCTCCCAGATCTCCATGTCCTGAAAGTTCACAACAAAATGAACTCATTAACTTGCAAGAACTAACCAATATGACATGACTGGAAACTAACAGCAAAGTACAAGAATACCTTCCCGAGCTTCCAGTTGAGGAAAACGAAGCCCACATTAAATACATACGTGCTAACTGCCCACAAAAGAATGAAGACTAGAAGCAACCCATTCAATCGATGTAGACGAAACAAGGATGGAAAAGCGTACAAGATGTAGCCAATATATGCAAGCAGTCCAAACGCACATATACTTGCAAAATGGAAGCTCCAAAAAGAAAGGGCAAACAATGAGACCTGTCACATTTTCCATCAAAAGTTTTAGCATATATGAGAAGATGGTGAATAAGATTTGTTATGGGGATCCAATACAATGAAAGATGAAATTAGGAAAGTTACAAAATAGTATAATACATATAAAATTTTCAGAAAGTTAGTGAAGAAAGGACTAAGAAAACCTTGCACCTCCGTCCTATTGGGACCCCAAAAGAATAGGACTAAAGCCAATATGGACAATATTTTCCGTATCATTGATGGGAGAAGTGAGGAGATTAACTTTCAATTGGAATGAATAATGTGGCATTACATGGCATTACAGATAAAACAACGCACTACTAATCTACTATAGCATTTGAATTTTGCAACTGAAATCACCCATCAAGTCATCACGTGATATGTTACTTAAAGGTTAATTTCTAACAGAATGAGTTATATTAATTTGAAGAGAGTGACCTTACATTTCAGAATGAATCTGAGGATTTGTTTTCCGAGGGAAAACATTGATTAAAACCTTCTGGATTCGTTGAAAAGACGAGCTTCACTAGAAGTAGTTTTTCTTTTGATAAGGTAAAATAAGACGTGGCATGTGTTTGTAATATATTATTTGAAATTTCCAGCATATCTTTGTACTTTATCTCAGTACTAGCTAGGCACTGAATTTCTTTAATAAGATTTACCTTATAATGATCAAAAGATGGAATATTTTAATGTTGGTAGTAACAAATTGAATTTTTCTAAATAATATGCTATGTTCAAGAACGAATCAAAACCAAAGAACAAAGGAAATGCAAATGAAACTAGTGAAGAAGATATCTTATTGTTCTATGTAACAATTTATATGATCTCTCAATCAAATGTTTTAAGCTGGTTGATTGGTTAGATTATATCATTATAAAGCTCAGATCTTCAGACATTTTCATGTTATCTGGCTTAAAAGTCACAAGAATGTGATGTGTGTGGCAATCTGATTTGGAGCAGACAAATTACATCTTTTTGGACATGGCACTTAAGGAAATCAAAGAGGAAAAAGCAAAGACATAAAAGGACAGATCACAATTCATTGTCGTTTAAGGACATGTACCGGGAAGCCGTACGTGAAAAAGTTGATAGTGAAAATTCGGAAAACTGTTCTCCTCAATAAAACATTAGTATGCCTCACACCAGATCTGCAATCACATAAGAATTTATAAGCTTTAAGCAAGACTTCTTTAAATGTATCCCTCAAGAATTTCAAATAATGGGAAACCTTTAAATGTAAAAGAAACTCTCCCATAATCATCAGCAAAGAAAGCATTCCGCAGCAAGGATTCACAACCAGAAACAGAAAATGTAGTCCAGACTGTCAAAGTATGATCTTTCGAAATTTTCTAGGGAAGAAAAACAAGATTTCCATTGTCACCAGTCTTAACAAGTGGGATGTCAAACTTTGGCAACACTACTGCTCATACTCGAGCAAATTTGATACGGACTTTATTGTAACTCGAGAATTTTTCTGTGTGGCATCAGCCATGTACAACATAGGATCATCTTGTATTCAAACAGACCCTTCTCCAACCAAAAGAAGAAGAAAAAAGATGCAAATGGCACTTTTTAAGGTAACTGTGTATGCAAATTGGTGTAGTGAACTACTAAATAAGGTAATCAAATAAGTGGCATCAGATAGATCAAGAAATATTAATACAGTAGCACTGACCTGTTTTCGCGAACAAAAAAGGAATGCCGCAAGGGAAGAAGCCGCTCAGTTAAGTTCCCTTCGCTCATGGTCATGATGAAATACATTTCCTCCAAATCATCCTTAACCAAAGAGATCTGCATATCGTCAATAAAATCAGGTCGTTATCCACTCCAACTACCCGGACTGTTGAGAATCAGCTAGAAAGTGCACTTGTTTTAAATAACAGCATTTACAATTACGCTAATAAAGTACACATGAAATGGAAATAAACAAATTATTCTAATGCAAACTTTTCACAGCTGGATCAATCACAGATTAGGCCAACTACAAAGTTCTTCCCATTGAATCTTTCAAAAGAAACTAGTGCAGTACCAAAGTTCTGGACAGTTCCATGAAACAAGAGCGCCTGGAGTAGTAGATCCTTAAGAATGTGCAGATCATCTATCAAAGGGAAATAGGGAGAAGGCTTGAACAAAAATAGGAAAAGAAACAGGTTCAACTTGAAGATGAAATACAGGAAGATGAAGAGATGAAGAAAACTGCTACAGCATGGTGACAATAGCTCTCATTCTCTGCAGATTTATTCAACTTTGACCTCGCCGCCAAGTACTATTTCAGAAACTAATTTACACAAAAATCAGGGATTTTAAAAGCTTCAGATGTTTAGCAAAACTATGAAAACATTAATGTTAAAATAGACCTTCATCTGAAGAATTCTCAGTAGACGAGGAGAATATATATATTAGAGAGGAAGCAAGAAGTGAGAGCTAGAAAGCTTAGGTTATCATAGAGCATGTTCAGAGCTAAGCCAACTGATTCGATCTCTCTTCAGACTTAGGTTCTCTATCTCCTACAAATTTTATTAATATGACTGTCAGCACAAGAACAAGAACGTCCAAAGGAGATGCAAAGCTAGACGAACACATCAGAGTCTGCCTTCAAGCTTTTCAATAGATGTTACAATGACCAGCTTGCTGAAAACAACATGAGGCATTGAGGTAGCAACTCAGTGAGAATACTACAAGCAACGGCTTCATCTTCAGGTCTTTGTAAAGGTTTGCGGATTAAGTCTTAAGTTGTGCTGAGGCATCATGAAATTCATAGAATGTCACCTCCACAGTAGTTCTTTTTTCCTTGATAAGTGTCCTCTCCCCAATAGTTTAATCCTTTCAATAAGATGGTGCACATACCCAAATCTGGAACTAAAGTAGGAAAAAATCCTGGGCCTGAGTGTCACTACCTTACAACTACGCCTCAATCCCAAACAAGTTGGGGTCAGCTATATGAATCCTCACTGACCATATTTCTCCATTTAAGCTCAACTCATGCCATCATCATACCAAATAAAAATAAAAGTGAAATAAGTTAAATATATATAAATAATAGTAATAATAATAATTATATTAAAAGTTCTCTATATTTTTACTAACATGTAAATCTATGATGAGGCCAAAATACTCTTAGAAAAACATTAGGTTGAGTACTCCCATCAAGAGGTTCCTGCTGCAATGTTTGCGACTTGATATTGATGACAAATATCGAACTGTCATTGTTAAGTACAAGCAAAAAGTGGTTGCAAGAACTGTTGAGTAAAAAAGCTAACAGGTTTCAGCCAGCTGAAAAAACAGTCGGAGATAAGTAGTTTTGCTGGAAGTCTCATCTATATACAAGCTAACAAATGAAATGGTGTGGATAGTAATATACATCGAATAAGAAAGAGAAGGAAGTAGAATGGTATATTTAATAGAACAAAAGAGAAGAAGACAGTACATAATACGCCAAAAAAATGGAAGTAGAAGAACTCAGTTGTGTAAGCTCGTGACAATTCCCCGTGTATCAAAAGCATTCATCAGCCCGTTCTATCTTAATATTTGATCCGTGATAAATTGAAGACTTTACGAGAAATAGCAAATGGTTAGACCAATGGATAGTTGGTCTTGGGATGGGGCTGGGAGATTTCAATATTTTAATTCATCTTGTGTCTTGTAATGGTTATGTAACTTGTAGTACTCTATGATAAATACTATAATTGGGCCTTTGGACTCTTCATTCCACCATAAATAACACACAAATTCTTGATAACAAGATCATATGCTCAGTTCCTTGTTAGCATTTAGCCATTTATTACTCTGTAAAATCCTTGTCTTTCAAAAAAGTCAGCAGCGCACCGATTTATATTGGGTAGCGCAAGGAATAAAGCACATCAAAGAAATGACAATTGCTAGTGATTACAACAGGTGCAGCCTACGCAGTGTTATTAAAAGTGACCACTTCATCACTTTGGCACAAACTGAGGGCCTATAGCTTCACAGGTGACGCAATGTATTTCAGAGAATGTGCACATCAAAAATGACACCCAAAGTGATCCAAACGAAACAGTCGGTTTTTTTAAACAAGAATTGGTTTAATATCGGCATTAGTGTATATCTTATGCTGAAATTAATCATGTTAATTGCAACTAAGATTATTATGGAACAAAATTCATGTGTCTGGTATTTTCTAATTTTCCTTAAATTTTGTGCTTCACTTCGAAGGAGCATGCGCTTCACTTCTTGCTTTTCTTTTCAAGCCCTATAAACATTGTCCTTTTTTTTTTTTGCGCTTTTCACTTTTAAAAGCAGTAGGCTAAGGTCAGTCAAGCTCCTCCTCATGTATATAGCACTAGGAATGCAGATAAAAGGGAACTCAATGCTTCAATATCATAAGTATCTGAAGAAACAGTTTGTTCAAAGAGAATATCAATTACGAAGGTAGTGTTAGCTAATTCCAAAATTGACTTTACTGCAGAAGATGTGAGCGTACCAAATAGTAGAATGCCAAAAGAGAGAGGCCAGAACAGATTTCTTGCCAACCAGAGTTTGTTGATATCTTGTATAGACCAATATAATCAGCTACTACATAGAACATCTGTGGAAATGCGATAGGGAGCTGATAAAAATAAAGCAGACAAATGTTGAAACCAGCATATAGCCAAAGAAACTTCCACCACCTAAATTCATCAATAGAAGAAAAATAAAACTTAGGATTTAGCAGCAAAAGGACAAAGGATTTTAATACAGAAAAAAACAGAAAAGGATCAGCGATATAATTACCTGAATAAACCTAAAAAGTTGCTTGTTAAAGACAAATCAACTAGGCCCACACAGCTACAAATAAAGAACGGTAGAGAAAGCCAAGAGGGATTGCTAATTCCCACAATCAATTGAAGAGCAGGCAGAAATAAGCAAGAACTCACTCTAAGACAGGAACCTTCCATGCCAAACATAAGATGAATAAAGTCAGCTTTTGAAAGAGACATAATTTTATCTTACGGTAAATGCAAAATAATTGAAGCTCAACATACTGAAGCTATTTTCTTTTATCAAGCAATAAATTTCATTAAAAGGGGCAAGAAAACAGCCCATATAGTACACCAAAAAGTAGAGAACCTTACAAACACATACCGCAGCTATTAATCAAAGCAAACCCAACAGCCCTAGTATTCATAACAAAAAAAAGGAAAAAATCAAATTGCAAAAAAAAAAAAAAAAAAAAAAAAAAAAAAAAAAAAAAAAATCCAGACAGGAAATCCTGCTTACACCCGAAAAACAAAGTAAACAACGAGCTCAGCAATATCAACCATAATAAGATGAATGATATTTTACAAGTAACACAATAAACAATGATTATATTGCTAATGAAATCACACACGCGCACACACACACACACTCTTACATACAATAAGTACCATACTGGAATAAATATGTTCAGAATATGAGTAGCCAATAAAACTTAGATAGTAAAAAGATCAGCTCCATCAGTATTTATTCGTTATTTAACTTTGTCTTTAAAATGCTTGCAGTGAGAAATCACATTCCTAATCGTGCATCATCTTTAGCTGTTATGTAGTGAAGATACAACTCCCAATGGAGCCATAGACACAATGTACCAAGTTCAAGGAGATAAATGTAAGACCACAAAAAATATCTAACCAATTTCATTATATTGTGTTGTGTCCTTATTTGTAATTAGGTAAAATAATTCAAATTTATGATGGGAATAAAACTTCCTTCTACAGAGGTATACCAAAAAAGTAAAGAACCTAAAAAGAAATATGATTCTCTACGAAAGACATACAAGCTTCTATACACAGTTGGAACCTCAGGGTGCACAAAAAGAAATAAGGAATAAGAGGGTATTCCTTAAATGTACAAAATCATTATGTCCCTTCTAAAACCCTCCTATTTCTTCCTTTCCATACAACCAACATGAGTGCCAGGGGAGCACTATCCCACACCCTCTGTCGTCTCCTCCATCTTCTAAAAGCCTAGTTAAATAGTGCCTCCTTTTTTTTTTTTGAGAAGGTAACATATTTGTATATTGATATATAGTCGTCATTAAATTTGTGAAGACACCCATAATTACATAGGAGAGCCCAAAAAAAGAAAGTAAAGCACCTATGATCCTTGGTCTTCTCACAAGGAATCTAGAACATCAAAAATGAATTCATGATCCTCTAAAGATTTTCCTTTACACCAAAAATAGAAAAGAACTAGACACTTCATCTTTGTCTTCTGGATGTTACTGGACTTGTCTTCAAAACAACTCTGATTTCTCTCTTCCCAGATTGTCCACCAAATACAAGTTGGGACAATGCTTCATCTCTCTTTATAGCTAGAAAGATTGCCCTCTTTATTCCAGCATGCTAGAACATCAAGAGTTCTTCCTGGCATTGCCCATACAATTCCCCTTAAGCTAATAAAAATTCTCCATATTTGTATAGTGAATTTGCAATGCAAAAAGAGATGACTAATTGTCTCTGCCTCCTCTCCACACAAGCAACATCTAGAACACAAGTGAAATCCTCTTTTACTTAGATTATCTTGAGTTAGAACCGCTTTCTTTGCTAGTAGCCATGAAAAGCAAGCAACCTTATAGGGGATTTTCAATTTCCATATCATCTTCCATGGCCAACAACCAACCTGGTTGTTTGACAGGTTGAATTCCTTATATGCGGACTTAACAGATTATTTCCCTGCATGTTCCCTTGCCATATGATGAGATCTTGATTAGAGTTGGTTCCAGTGAATAGCTCCAGGGTCTTGTAAAACTCAATTACTCTGCCAATTTCCCAATCATTTAGAAGTCTTCTGAATGTAAGGTATCAATGTTGATTAGTCCATGCCTCGTCTAAAGTTGCTTATTGTTGTTGATTCAAGGTATATATGTCAGGAAAGAGTAGCTTCAAAGGGCCTTGGTCTAGCCAGTTGTCTTCCCACAAGGAAATCTTCCTATCATTCCCAACTTTGAACTTTGTCTTGTCAATCACTTTTGGCCACAAGTTCCTAATGGACTTCCATACACTGACACCAGATGGACTTCTCACTGGTTTGGTTGTCCATTTTCCTTCCATTCCATATTTCTCCCTAACTACCTCTCTCCACAGTGTTTGCTCCTCTGCCGCAAATCTCCATAGTCACTTCATCATCAGACTCTGGTTCTAAATTCTCAGATCTTTGATTCCTAATCCCATGTCTTCTTGCTAGTAGTAAGAGAGTTCCATTTGACCATGTGGAACTTCTTCTTGTCACTGTTGCCTTCCAATAGGAAATTTCTTCTTAATGCATCTATTCTCTTCGCTACATTAATTGGCATTGGAAATAGAGACATCATATAGGTTGGCATAGCATCAAGAACAGAGTTAATCAAGATTGGCCTTTCTCCTATAGATAGATAACGATTCTTCCGGTTTGCTAGCTTCTTTTCACACTTTTCCAGCACACCATTCCAAATTCCTTTAGACTTACTCTGCATCCCCAAATAAACAGTAGGTAATTCACCTACCTTTCCACTAAGAATATCAGCAAGTCTTTGAATCTCCAATACCTCATTAACCGGATAAATGAAGTTTTTATGTCAGTTAATGTGTAGTTTAGAGGTGGCTTCAAAGAGAATGAAGATCACCCTTAGCATTTTCAGTTGTTCTTTATCAGCTTCACAAAATACCAGAGTGTCATCAGCATACTGCAAATGGGAGATCATCATGTTGCTATCAACCCTCGAGTTCACTTTGAAGCCCTTGATCCAATTGTTTGTTTGAGCTCTTTTTAGCATATCATTTAGTCCTTCCATAGCAATGATGAATAGGAAAGGAGAGAGGGGATTCCCTTGTCTCAAACCCCTCTGAGAAGGGAAGAAACCAACTAGTGCTCCATTGATGAGTACTGAAAATCTCACAGTAGATATGCAGAATTTTTTCCAGTTTATCCATCTTCCTCCAAAGCCCATTTTTCTTAGAGTTTCCAGAAGAAAGTTCCAGTTCAGATGATTATATGCTTTCTCTATGTCCAGCTTGCAAAGTAACCCAAGTTCCTTGCTTGTTTTCCTAGAATCAATGCATTCATTGGCGATTAGGACTGCATCCATGATTTGTCTTCCTCTCATGAATGCCATCCGTTGAGTATCTATCAATTTGTTGACCACTTTCTTGAGCCTCTCAGTTAATAATTTGGAGATGATCTTGTATATACTGCCTATCAAACTAATAGGCCTGTAATCTCTCAATTCTTTTGCCGCCACCTTCTTAGGAATCAAAGCCACAAAAGTAGCATTGAGGCTCCTTTCAAACATTCCTTGTTCATGAAAGTTCTGAACAACACCTACCACTTCCTTTTTAACCACATCCCAGCAGTTGATGAAAAAGGCCATTGAGAATCCATATGGGCCAGGTACTTTATCTCCAGCACATGCCTTCAGACTATCCTATATCTCCTGCTCTTCAAATGGACTCTATAACATTAAATTATCTTCTGGTGTAGTCATCTGGTTGTTTCTGATGGTACCTAGTGGCCTCCATTCTTCTTATTCTTTGTAAAGCTTTTGGTAGAAACTAAACACCTACCTCTTGATATCTTCAGGATTCTGAATAGATTCCCCTTCCACAATCAACTGGTCAATGTTGTTACATCTCCTGTGAGGATTAGCTGTTCTGTGGAAGAATTTTGTGTTCCTATCTTCCTCTTTTAACCAGAGGGCCCTGGATCTCTGCCTCCATGCTACTTCTTCATGGCTTGCAATCTCCTCAAACTCCATGGTCAATGAAGTTCTTGTGAATATTTCCTCCTCTGTCAAGCTTCTTTGGTCATGTATCTTCCATCTCTGCAAGTTGACTGAGAATATTTGCTTTTTGCAATGCTAAGTTGCCTTGTAGAGTTTTGCTCCATTCTTTAAACTTTGCCTTCAGTGCTTTAAGTTTAAACACTAGAATGAAATCAGGCCTTCATTCGTATGTGAAAGAGTTCCACCATTCTTGCACTCTTCCTTTGAACCCTACTGTCTGCAGCCACCAATTCTCAAACTTAAAATATGATTTGACTGGATCCCAACTGCCACATTGAAGCATCAGTGGGGAATGGTCTGAAGTCACTCTATGAAGCACAGATTGCTTTATGTTTCTAAAGTCTTCATTCCATTCAGTAGAGATCAAGAATCTATCCAGTCTGGCTGTTATTACATGTCTGCCACCTTTTCTCCACGTGTACTCACTCCCTGATAATTGGATGTCTATCAGCTCCATGTCTTCAATGAAATTTGAAAACTCAGTCATAGCTCTTGTGAATCTGGAACAATTCTTCTTCTCTGATGGGAACCTTACAGTGTTGAAGTCCCCACATACCACCCATGGTCCATCAAAAAGACCTCTTGCACTTGCCAGTTCCCACCACACTTCCTCCCTCTTTCTTCTGTCATTAGGAGCATACACTACTGAAAGGCGCTATGAGTAATCCTGAGTTTTGCCTGAAAATTTGCAAGTGATACTTCCCCCTTCCATATTCTCTCATCCCACATTACTACAATACCCCCCTCTAGTCCCACTAGCCTCTAATTGTGCAAATTTCACCCATCTATTACCCCATAATTCTTTTACTTTCTCCCCGATATCCCCTTCTAATTTTGATTCTTGGAAGCAAACAATCTCTGTCTTCCACCTGAGAATCAGACTATTAATCACTCTCCTCTTTTTAATTTTATCAAGTCCCTTGAAATTCCAAGATATGATGTACGCTAACATTGGCTATGATTGGTAATGTAGCCCCCCTGCTTCTAGTTCCATTGCTCTTGAAACTGCTCCCAATCTCTAAACTTTTCAATTCTTTGATTCTTTTCTTCTTTAGAGTCTGAACCATCTGTGTAACTTCTTTCCCTTTATTTGCTTGCCTTCTGTTATCAATTTTCATGAAAAATTCCAGTGCTTCTTTCTCGCGCACATTAAAATCCACCCCAAATTCTTTGCTTAATCTTATAATGTTCTGGTGCACCCAGATGGATGCCTCAAATTCTAGGTCCTCTTCTGCCTCTAAGCTTTGATGATTCAGCGGCACAGCTTCCTCAATTGCCCAGTCCACAAACATCTCTGATTCCTTTGATTGCATGTGCATGCTGTTGTAGTCTTTCGTGTCTACTCCCTTCTCTTCATGTTCCGTAATAATCGACATGGCATTATCCCCCACAGTATCTTCTTGTAGACTTTGTTTATCTCTATCGTCCTCTCTCTTTTCTTCCTCTGCTTCTGGTTTGTCGAGATTTCTGGGTTCAACTGTGTGTGTTATTAATTGGTTTCCCACAGACTGTTTGAGATGTATCACTTTTATTTCTTCATTAAGGGGATCTGACCTGGGCTTTACATTGGGCCATTTTGAAGCCTTCTCCTCAAATATTAATTGGGCAAAAAAATCTGGGCCCAATTCCTTTATATTATGCTTTTGGGCAGCTTTGTTATTAACCACTAAAGAGTCACGTGACAATGCTTTTTTAGAGATTAGTTGTACCTGATTTGAACACCCCACGTGCCCCATCACACTTTTATAACCTTGAGCCCCTCCCCCTGCCATCTGCATGCCCTCTTTTAACCGCTGGTTCTAACGGTGTTCTTCGTTCTCCTCGGCGTACGATCTCACCGGAGCTTCGCACCAGATTTAGATTTCGAAGACTACCCCTTCAAATTTTATCTTCACTGCTTTTAGGACTGCAGAGCCATCTCCTCTAACTTTTATTCTTGCCCATTTCAAGTGGTTTTTCAGTTCCGTCTCCTCCTCCATTTGGATCCAGCCACCACAAAACTCCCTTAGTTCTTTGAACACTTTTTGGGACCATAAATGTAATGGAAGCCCTACTAGCCTAATCCATACATGGTTCATCTTCTTATTTCTTGGAATTGACCCCACCATCGGATTCCACCATTGTAGCTTAACTTTGTGTTTCTTCCAATATTAGTCACTTTCCAATACATGGTCAGCTATTAGTTTCGAGTGCAATTCGAAGAGAAATCAATTATGATCCATCTCATAGATACTGGTTCCATGTGCTTGTTTCCAGGAGTTAGATGACCATCTATGAACTTCTGACAAAGTTGCAAATTTCAGAGCTTTCTTCTAGGATGAACCCCACCAAGCATCTTCCGAGTAATTCATTGTGTGTTGAATCACCAGAGATGCATATAGTGTCCTCTTCTTGTTGGACCACTACTTCATTCATTTCTCTGCTTGCCCATTTATGGTTTCTGACAGTGTTTGAGTAAAGAAGACCTTCCTCAATGATTTTGGGAGCATTAATGACATTCCTCCGTACCCCGCTATTAATGAACCTTTCAATTTTTGTTGCAATATCAAACCATCCTGCATTATGACACCTCTGGAACTATAATAATAGACCTCCCCCTGCCTTGGACCCTAATGATGGTTATATAACGCCCGTGCTGGTTGTAGTTCCTGGCGAAGAATATTTTTGAGAAATGATTCTTGATTTTCCATCTTTTCACATAGTTTCCTTTCATCTTTGATGCTTCCTTTAAGTTTTCGCACAACCACACCATTGTCCTCCTGCTGAATGTTGTTCTTCTAATTAGATTCCTTCCTCGTTTTGTCCACTCGTACCATTCTTCAGCATTTGATGAGCATCTCTCAATGTATATGACTTGAATCTCACTGCAAAGAAGATGATGTTGTTCTCCCTCATAGTAGGATTAACAATTTGGTGTGTTTTGGTCAATATTTTTAACTTAATAAAACAAGTAGAATTTTAAACGTACCTCTTTTTACTACCTGACAATGTAAAGAGAGGTGATCCACGTCTTCGCCCAAACTCTTACACATGAAACACCAATTGACATGTGTAATCCTCCTCTTCCTCAAATTTTTAGCTGTCAGAATTGCGTCTTGCTAACCCAAGTGGAGAAACACAACTTTCTTTGCGCTCTGGCCTCTGGGGATCCAATCATAGATGTGGCTTGGAAAGGTTGATTCGTCCCTAATCTAGAGCTTATTATAATAAGACTTTTCAAAACAGAACAGTACTCCCCACCCCTACCTCCAAGAATCCCAGTTGTCATGCAAAGAACTTTGTTCATAGAGCAATCAAACCAAACTTTGGAATTCCGCCACCTCCCACTCCAGAATATTCATTCTAAAACTTAAGTCCCTGGGAACTTCCCCTTCCTTTGACCTCTTGAACCAGTTGGACTGTCACATTCTTCTAGCGAGAAGTCAGAGAGCTTGTGAGGGGTCTGAAAATGATTTGTGTATCTGAGAAATAGCCTCTTATACTTAGTTTATGGTGCACCCATGAAGTTCCTGTCTGTTTGGAAGATTGGATGAAATTGGGAGAGAACCATATTAAATTGTGTAGGTTCTGTACTTCTTGGTATACGGCTTGTGCACGGGAATTTCCCAGATTAATGAAATAATATATCTTAGTAAAACAAATGGAGTAGATCTATCACTATGTATCCACAGTTAGATATTTCAATATGGTAAATAGTTCTCTATTTGTATTTTTGATAGCAACACAAAAATTAAACAAGGGAGCTCGCTATCTTCCAAGCTACTCAAGTAGGTTACCTTTGTGGCTTTGGAGTAAAGGGAGTGGTCAATAAGGAAATATCAACATCACACCTCTTATTTGCAAAATATATGGTAATCTTTAGCGAATCTCAAAACAAATAGAGGCATTATTCAGGACACAGATTTGGTTCGACTGGTTTCAGGACTACACATCGACACAAAGAACTCTGAGCTTTGGTACCAGCAGGACAAATATACAACATCCAGGATCCAGCACAAAGAGAAGATAACAAAAGCTTAGTTAATATATTTTGATGTTTGAACATCCCTAGTCTAAACTTCTTTTTTAACTTTTATAAAAGCTTAAACAAGCACAAATCCAGATCACCCAGCTCTTCATATTAAATGATACATATTCAACTTTTCAAGTTAATAACTATATGCAGAAAAGCTAAGTTGCTCCGACACTTCAGTTTAGATGTCGCACCCATGTCGACACGACACTAGTATGGGTGTGGGTATGGGATCCGTACCGGATTTGGTCAAACACTTTTGGGTACTTTGACCACATCGGACGGAAAAATTGATACAAGATATAATTTGATTCCCAAAATCAGAACCAAAACTATGATAAATTTGAAGAAAATAACATACCTTATCTACTACATCAATTCTTTACTTATTTACAACTTGAGAATAAAAAAGAAATTCACACTTTACAAGCTATACGTAAGTATTCCACTAAATTTCTTACAAATTTAGAGATATTTTTATTTTTATTTTTTTTGAATTAATTTTAGCTAGATCCCTACACTTGTATCCATACTAGGATCTGTATCCCCGAATCTTAGAATTTACATCTCGAAGGATCCGACCTCTAGATCCGCACCCGTGTCGGACACCTGCACCCGTGTCCGAGCAACTTTGCAGAAAAGTTTCCTATTTAATATGCTTAACTCGTGAGAAGATGATTAGCATTCAATTAGGTGGAGTTATATTTGACTTGAACTTACCAATTTGTTCCAGAACTGATAAGAGATGTTCCCATTGGGAATCCTGCAGCTGAGCCAAGCGAAATCTGTTACCATAGATTTCAAATAAAGTAACGCCAGCAGATAATAGTTGCAGAACCAAGAGATAAATTACTGAGGGCGACCTCCATGACTTCACTCTGCAAAAGCATATACGACAATGTTCTTCATACGTCCTTATCCAGAATGTTGTGTGAATATCAGAAAAGGAAGAGTGAGTTACTAACACTAGGGGAAAGAAAAGGTAGCAAGAAGAAGGAATGAAATCTCACTTCATCAATCCAATAAGTTTCATCCACCAGGCATCAGCTAATGCCCGTTCCGCACCCAAAATAGCCGATACAATAAGAAAAACCACTTCCAGCAGAATAGTAAGAACTGAAAATAGAAAAACAAACCACAACAGAACTCTCCCTTTGAAACGGAATCCTACATAAATCAAAAACATTTATGAGTAATAAAATATGTGTAAAAAGGGGGAGAGGGGGGCGCAGAGAGGGAGGGGAGAGAGAGATTCATATTGCTAATGCTGTTTCGATGTATTCAAATAACAAATGCACATTCGGATAATTGGATTAGATGTCATATACTTCTGCACCATTATCCAATTTGGCCATCCTTCAAAAGGGGTCAGGTGCTTGTGCAGAAAGTGAACATAATGACTCATCTAGATGTTGCCAAAAAACACTGACCAATTATCAAAAAATTTAAGATAGCATGAAGAGAAGGAAATTTTACCTTTGAAATGCATCCCTAATCAAGGCTAAAATTAGGAAAAGCGAATCTTGCAAAAGCAACTTTACCTCTTTTTGGTGCAGTAAATCGCAGAAGAAGAGAAGACACCAAATTGACAAGAGAAATCAAACTCCAATTGAGTAAACCAGCTGCATAGAGNTTAATAACAAATGCACATTCAGATAATTGGTTTAGATGTCATATACTTCTGCACCATTATCCAATTTGGCCATCCTTCAGAAGGATCAGGTGCTTGTGCAGAAAGTGAACATAATGACTCATCCAGATTTTGCCAAAAAACACTGACCAATTATCAAAAAAATAGAGATAGCATGAAGAGAAGGAAATTTCATCTTTGAAATGCATCCTTAATCAAGGCTAAAATTAGGAAAAGCAAATCTTGCAAAAGCAACTTTACCTCTTTTTGGTGCAGTAAATCGCAGAAGAAGAGAAGATACCAAATTGACAAGAGAAATCAAACTCCAATTGAGTAAACCGGCTGCATAGAGACGGCAGAGATAAGATAGGTTCAGTCACAGAAGAACCTTTGTCAGTTAAGTTACAGAAGAATGCCCACAAAAGGGACATATGTTAAACCAAAACTACGAAGACTGACGGTTTTCTAATCGGTGACTTTACTCTATATTATGTCAGACTTATTAATATGAAATTGAAAACAAAAATGAGATAACTTTTATAGAAAAATAAAATTTCATTAGAGGGTAATAGTAGATAATTACAACATGGAGGACCAGCAGTTCTCAAATACTAAAATAATCAAGAACCAAAAACCTTTACTACTGTATACCTGTTGCATATGGGCTTCGCCCATTTTTGCCCGACAAAAATAGTTTACTCATTCAATAGCAGAAACAGGAAAGAACTCTGAAAGTGACACAGACCCAATACTATGTTTCAATTACATTTAGGTAGCTCTTTTCAAACCCTTCATCATAATTGACCACAGTCATCAATATTTAACTACCCTTGCCAATCTCTCTTCCTTCTTGTCTTGATCCTTGGTGGCGAAATTCAGTTGGGCAATTACTCCTTGTATTCACAAGTTTTACTAAATCATGATATATTATGCCTTGCTGCTATCCAGAGTTTCCTCTTTCTACTAACTTCAATCATGGATTAATTTGACATTACTTTTAGGCCAAAGGAAAAAATAGAAAAGAAAAATGCCAAGCATAGAATGAGATATAAAAATAACTATGCCTCAACTCCAAACTACTTGGAGCCGGCTTTATGAATCATACGACTACAATAATTATGCCCCAATTCCAGGCCTTTAAGGGCCTGAATTTGCAATCCCTCTATTTATTCCAGATATTTCCAGGCCACCACAATTCACAAAACCTGATCTAGGGACCCTGACAAGGGGATCGGCAATCACTATACTTGTACCATACCACAATGGAAGCCTACAACTCAATTGAAGATCAAGTACCAATAGATACTTATTCCATGTTGGTTGAAAACATAAAATAATGTATGAATTGAAACAATTGGTGTGTTTGTACATTGCACAAAGGTTCATTTTTCTATGACAGTGGCGTCGAGGTCAGCTTACGTGCACCTTGACTATTCTCCGCGTAACTGCTACCTCCCACCCGCACAGTTACTGGGTACATCTACCCACAAAGATTAGGTAGATGGGAAGAGATCACCTAGCCTTTTAAGACTGCAGAAATGTTCTACTTATAGGATCTAAAGAATTGAGTTGATTAAAAACATCGGTTAATTTTTACATGATTTAAAATACTTAGCGTATATAAATGTTCCGGATGACGGAATTACTGTAATTTTATTCCGGTTATATTACTCGTGATTCATAAAACTACCTAGTGGCTGAAAAAGTACCACGCCTAAATATTTTATCACATAGCTCACTCTACAAAATGCATGAATTTGTTATAGTAGCCTCAATTTTCTTATTGAAGTTGCAAGACAAGGTTCCAAATATTTCAGAATTTGAGGCCTTAAATGCACGCCAAGTTTTGGAGTAGTAGAACTACAGAAACTGTTTACTTTGTACAGAAGATATGCTTGCGATACATCTAGTCTGATCAATATGCCCAAAATTTAAGAATTTGAGGCCTTAAGATGCAGGGCTTTAGGCCTTAAGAAGTTACCCACCTTTTTTTGCATTGCAGGGTTACAAGCCAATTATGAAACATGTTCTTTTCAATATTTGGTATGTCTTGGACCATGCCTAACTCCAATACAAAAATGCTGAAGTGCTGGACCAAGGAGGGTCTATGCAAGAAAGCTCAAAAGACCTGGAACATTGTTCCTCAAGTTATCTAGTGGTCTGTCTGGCTTGAAAGAAATAGTAGAATTTTTGAAGGCAAAAGAAGAAATATACAGTGCCTTAAACTTAAATGCATTTTGTTGATCTCTTTTAGGTGCAAACTAGTTTCTGTACCAGATGTAGATGATATTTTAGACGCAATTGCTGATTTGCACAACCTGTAAGTACGCCTGTTGCACTGGCTTAGTGCAAATATTTATATAATATATTATTTACCCATCAAAAAAAGATGCAGGCTTTAGGAGAATACTAACACTCTACGGTGACTGATTGACCAGGTCTTAAGGTCAGTACTAATCCTATTTATTACTACTAAGCAAACGTTCGATAAATTCAATTCGTAGCTTTTTGAACAATTCATGTCTTTACATTCTAAAGATTCGCTAACTTTTTCGTGATTTCACTTCTAAGGAGGCAAGCCGTGGGGAAATGGTAGTGTTGCTCCTTTGTTTACCCATAGATAACGGGCGTGAGACATGGATATAGCCTCTTAAATGCAACGGGAAGGCTACATACAGTAAACCCCCGTTCTTCTCCTACCCCTGAACAGCTGCATTCGTAAACCCCTTAGCAACTTCTTTTCTAAGATACATGACCTGAATATTCTGTAAGTTCTCGAACATTACATGCTGTCCGAAAGTGCTACACAATATGCTCTAATGCTGCTCGTGTAATCTAAACTTCCAAACCGCAAATACACAGACCGTGGTAAACTTGAATTGCGCAAGCCTAACGTGGCCGTTACTTCAAATACTGTTCAAGATTTCTAGGTGACAGATCACAGTCTTCACCAAAGTCAACATCTTCCAACTAATTATTAGAGCTATAGAGTAATTAGTACGTTGAGATAATTTCAAGATTGTGAAATATGAATCAATGTTTAGTCAAAATCATCCAACTATATTTGAGTGTCATTTCAAGATAACACAGCACTTAGGTACTTTTACCAAGAATCTGGAATAAAAAATTAGTAAAGGAGATAAAGTTTAAATCTTTACCTGATAAGAGCAGAGATGGCAACACAAAACCACGAAAAAAACTTCCCATTATCAGCTCTTTTTATCAATTCATCCACATTACTCAATCCAATGAAAGATTGGTTTGAGAGCCCAAATTAAATCACAAAAAGCTACTGAGGCCTATAAGATAATCAAAGATTCAAATCTTGATTAGAGAAGAACCCCATTAAGAAATTGGGGTTCTATTAAAGTAATTGTATTGTATGTGAGAGGAGCGGAATTGATGGTGTGTCTACAGAGAGGGCCTGATTTGATCGTTTTCATACTAGGAAATTTGGACCAATGGGGTTCTTCCAGTTTGAGACACGAGGCTGTTCTAGCCATGGGTTGAACAGAAGGGTATTCCTGTAATTTAACGTATTTTATGTTTTTATCTTGAAATGATTACTTTTGGTTTTACATTTTAAAAGAATAATAATAAACATTGAGTATTGTGTTGTATCTTCAAATAATTGGTTTTACGGTTTTTGTGAGAATTGATTTTGGGTTTNTTTTTACCGAGTATATATATATATATATAAAGAATTAAGAATTCACACCAATGCCTTAAAAAAATATAGGTCCACTCAATATTTTTTTAAATACTTTGAAAATGATCTCATATCAATAAGTAATATAGCATGATTACAATTTGTAAGTGCTCACACTCACAATAGGTGTACACATGTTTACAAGAACAAGCAGAACGGACATAAAAATCAAAATTTAACACTACACTTTCTAATTTCTATGTAACGTTCTAATTGTTAATTAAGTTACATGTGTTTTTTCCTCTCAGTATTATATGAAGTATTTTCTTGTTAATTTAACCAGTTTGACTTGCAAGAGTTCACTTCAAACTAATTGGATGTCGGCATATCACTTATAAGCAATGAAAAACATTATTTGAAAAGGAATGAAAAAATAGATATAAACCTAAAGCCTTAACCAACCATCTCCACCTTTATTCCTCTTACTTTTATACATTCTTTACTTCTCGTTCTTATGTGATTTTTTAACTATTAAAGGAATTTTTAGCGTTTCAGAATGGTTGTGATAGGCATTGCAAGGCGAAAGACATGGTGCTTTGATGAAATTGGAAGGGAATGCTTAATAATTAAGATGATTGATGACGAAATTACAATTGCTAAAGTACAACTTCTTCCCTTCGTGTAATCAGTCGATTTTTTTTCGCTAGCCAGTCAGGCCAATACATTTGCAAAAGTCCAGTCTGGGAACAATTAAAAACACATGAACTTTGTAAAAACTTATACTCATGTAATTTATTTATATTTTATAAACTATCACACGTTATTTAAATTACTATTTTTAAATTGTTTACCAATTGGCTTCTACAACAGACCAAAAATGGTACATTGGAATTTGATAGAGTCGATCAATCAACAAGATGCTTTTGGGGACTTCTGGGAATAACTGTAACTTGAGAAATCGAAAATTTCATATCCCTGGACCTTGTTAATGATGTTCCTCAGGTGAACAATTTGATCTTTGTTCATTACTACTATTTAGCAAATTCTGCAACTATGGTAGAAGATATTCAACTACTTAATTTTTTTAAAGGATTATTGCAGCCAGAGACAAAATTACAATAAGGATGCTCTCCAACAGACATTTTCTAGCATTAGAAAAGAGAAGAAAACCCAAGAAACAAACAATGAACCAAGGTTTCTCACTTTGATTTCTTTCCCTGCTTCTTTTTTATCACTTCATCAATGTACATTATACCTTTGCCTTTGTAAACTTCAGGGGGCTTACAGCTCCTTACAGAAGCAGCAAACTGATGTACCCTATACTTGTCAATCCCAGTGCAGCAAATCACATTGGGTTTGAAACAGAACACGCGAACTGCAGGGGGCACACTCAGTTCAACCTCATGACTGTAGCCGAGCTTGAGGTACAAGAGACGACCCTCGGATTCTGCTCTAGCCTTGAAACCCACTCCAACAATCTTGAGAAACCGAAAGAATTTAGCTTCCATGGGATGAATTTTATCAATCAGCTGAAACATGAGATTATATGACGAAAGCTACATCAGTAGAGTAGAAAATTATTGTAGGCCAAACAAGAAAAAACCTAGACAACATTACATCAGTAAACATTTTTCCACTAATTTAAAGCAAGCAAGGAATTGAGATTTTATTCAAAGAGAAAAATCTCAAATATCTCGAGTTTCTTTTTGGATGATCCGATCCACAAGGATTATGATTGGGAATTGTTTGATCAACTTTCTATGAGAAAAGGACAAATAGAATCAACTTGACTTCGAAATCGTTATTCGAAGTCTTGGTGGAATACTGGATTTCAGCTTTTCATGAAAAAATACCAATTGAAATGGAGGGTTTCTTCGAACAGCAAGGAGCTGGGTAAACTATTCAATCCAATAATATTGAGCCCCAAGTTTTTTTTCCTAAACGAGGTGCATAAGTTTAATAATGATGGAAAATCTCATATTTACACTAAAGAAGAGAATCTACAACAATAAAGAAAGTGGAACCTCATTACCAAAAAAAAAAAAAAAAGACTTTCACGATGTTTCTAAAATCTTCCTTTTTAACAAAACTAGTCAACAATTATCATCCTAAATCTAAAGCCCTCCTACATAGTTGTTGATCAAATTTCCAAGAGATAAATGCTCCCTCATCCTATTGACCACCTGGAATTGGTTGAAAGCCTATTTTTGCTTAAACTAGTTTCACCTTATGGGGAAAGTTCACACACTTTAACGTATCATTATCTCTTGAGTGAGAAGTTACAGCTTATCATAATACTTACATTTTGAATTTACTGTCCCTTTAGAATCAGTAAACTTTTAAAAATTTACCCACTCAACAGATCTAATAATTCCATTTCTTTAAATCAGTTCCATTTGTGGATATGTTACCTGTGGTTTCATTTGAAACCTCGCTGTCACCTACTTGCAATCTCTAACATCTATAAAAACAAACAATAATTTAATATCAATTGCACATTTGACTTATTGAAGAAGAAGAAGAAATTATTTAACCTTTGGACCTGCCGGTGATTCTCTCACAGACGACTATCGTAGATTGAACCACTGCAACTCTTAGTATGGCGCTCGTCGTCGGAGAACCTGAGACTGAAGAGGAGGAACGGGGAGATTGTGAGGGGAGGCTGAAACCAAATAATAAAACCCTAATAAACCTTTTTAAATTTTATCGGCTGGCCACAAGGACCAAAACCACAAGCTGTCCTTTGGTTCACTTTGCTAGTTACGATGTTTATGAAGTAACTAGTGAACTTATTGCGCCAACTAAAAATATTAGTAACACTAGTAAATTTATAAAATAAATATTTTATCAACATATATGGGAAGTTATAAAATAAATATTATTGAAGCATTCCTAAAAAAGTACAAAATTAACATTCATTTTCTAACAGTTAGTTTTTGTTTTTGTCCTCGTTCTTTCTTTCATTTCTCTTTTTTTATTTCACCATGTATGCATTAATGTCGTGACTCATAATCTTCCACCAGTTTCTATAAATTTTTCACATACTAACGACTAATTTTCATATATTCCTTTTTTTTATTTGGCGAAATGGCTTCCTAACCACTTAAACTTGTCGGGTTTTTTAAAGCCGATACATAAACTTATAATTTTTTCATTTAAACACTCGAACTCGTTTTTTCCATAACTAATAAACACATCTGACCATTGACCATGTGCGCGTGTATTACACATACACATACGTGTCCATCCAGTCAGCAAATGACCAATGGATGTCTTACACGTAAGGGCGCGAAAAGTCAAGCAGCAACTCCTTCTCTTTGATTGCTTTAGCGTTCTTCTTCATCAACCATTTCAAGCTAATTCCAACACCCCTAGCAACAGAAGAACGTTTATCTGTGCTACGCCTATCTCTGCTCATTTTTCTTCCCTTCACCACACAACACTCCACCTGATCAATTTTCTTCCTCAATCAAAAGCTGAGGTTGCTGTTTGGAGGTTTGTCGTGGTTCAGTTTCGTAATTTTCTAAATGTTTTAGTTCAATGAATCTATTTCTATACAAAAGCAGAAGCCAACCTTACTTGGAATTTCAGAGAGAATCTGAAGGCCCTCCTTATTGAAACTTGAAATCCCCCAGAATCTCTTCTTCTATGCATAATGTTAAGGTCCTTCATTAGACATTTTTAACTAACTGAAGTTCTCATTTACAGGTACTCCTGCAATGACATCAAGGGGATTGGTTGAGAAGGACTTCGAGCAGATTGCTGAGTTCCTCCACAGGGCTGTTACCATCACCTTGAACATCCGGCAACTAAAGAGGTAGCGAGACTAAGCACAATTTCAGGAAGAGTTGGACCCTTGCCTCTAGGCTTCCTTCTACCCTTATGCTAAAGGACAGAAAAAACAACTTCTTTCTTAGTGAGGAAAGATTTTGAAGGATTTCAATCAACGAACTTGGAAGGGGAAGATATGGGGAAGTTCAAAACTTAGCTTCAACTCTACAATGACAAAATATACAACTTTTCACCATTTTCACGGTCTAAAAAATGAAAAAAAAAATTGGAAATGGAGCTTTAGATTTTTAAAAATGGAGGAAGGGGGTATTTTGTACTGTTGGGCGTTGGGAATGGGGTTTTCACGCTCCTGTGCGTCGTATTCCTCACGCGGGCTGCTGATTAGGACCAACTAACGCTACATGAGCATGGTCAATGGTCAAATGTGTTTTATTAGTTATGGAAAAAACGAGTTCGAGTGTTCAAATAGGAAAGTTATAAGTTTATGTATCGGCTTTAAAAAAACCGACAAGTTTAAGTGGCTAGGAAGCCATTTCGCCTTTTTATTTTTTTGTATTATGACTATTTTATTCATGTTAACATCCAGCTGCCTCATTGGCACTTATGGTCTCTGCACGATCAAATGGGGGAGTTTAGAAAGCATCGAACATTTTATTATTATACTCTACAAAGTATGCAATATGCGTACACTCATACCAGTTTTCTAGCATAAAAGAGTGGAGTATATTTTTTCAAATGATAATAAACGTAACACCAAAAGAATTAAGTAATGGGAGATAGATTTGCATAGAAGAAAGAAAGTACCTAAATCTTCTTTGTCATTAGCTATAGTACTGTATAGGGTAAAATCGGTTCATATTAAATATTTGTATAATAGAAGCGACACGTGGAATTGGAGATAGATAGAAAGTGAGACATGTGAAAACCAAGATCAGAGGCGGCAGCTTCGGTTAGCACAGGAGAGCCCCCGAAGGGAAGATTCCTAATGAAGACAAACGAATGTCTGCCACCCGATAGCATTCAATGAAGAATATTTTGTAATTTTAATTACACAGTCCGCTATAGAGGATTATGGCATTCATAACATGCCGTTACACATTCTTCAATGGCCCCTATAATTATCATTTAAGAGGGGCTTGATCCTAGGACCTTGTTCTTTAGGTGCCAATATAAATAGGGATTCATCAACCATTGTAAGAGCACGAATTTTACAAACTTATGTTATACATTATTCTAAGCTCAATAACACTTTATTTCTTGTTTATTAGTATTATTATTGCCTACAGAAGCTCTGCTCCCGGAACCAAGCTATCTGCTATCTTATCTCGATTTCTACGCTAAGTCTTGTATTTTTGTTTAATTTATTTATCATTTTGGGATCAAATCGATTAGCTTGTCTATAAACCACATATAAATTCAACTGTACTATTTTACGGGTAAACAGTTTGGTGCCCACCATGGGGCTTAGACAATTGCGTAATTGGATTGATCCTTGCATCTATTACTAACATGTTTAAATTATTTGTTTCTTAGCGAAAATCATAAAAAATGGCAGATGACGATGTCAACATTACACAATGTTGAGGCCCAAGAAAATTAGCCTCAACACGAAGATTCGATCAGCGATACTTGAAACAAGGAGGGCGTAGCCACGCTGATTCATGGCAGACAGTATCCATAACACGTTCAAGAGGCAACTCCTAATGATGTTGAAGACGAGCGCGTTGTGGAAATAATGAGAATCTTAACGGAGCAACAAAGAGCTATTATGGGCCATCTCTCATGACAATATCAATTCATGACGGAGTTGAAGCAAGCGTTGTTGGGTGCTTCCAACAAGGCGAATGGAAGAGGTCCAGTTCCTCCCTATGCTCCCCCAAACCAAACAGCACAAAGGGTTGATAACAACACTTCGAGGGGTGAGGTCGGCTTCGACAGGGCTGGGGGGAACGACGACGGATTCGGTAACAATAATGAGAATGGTCCCTTCAAACTGAACTCATGCGGTCCATGAGGGAAATAATTGCCCGAATGGACCAAATCCCGGGTGCACCATCAATGTTGAAAGGACTGGACTCAAAGAAATACACCAGTTGCCGTTCAAACCAATCATGGCACCGGAGTTGATCCCGAAGCGGTTCAAAATGATGGACATGCCAAAATATGATGGGACTTTGGATCCTTAGGAGCACATCACCATCTATACAATGGCAGAGAAAGGAAACGACTTAGCGCCATGCGAGATTGAATCAGTCTTGTTGAAGAAGTTCGGGGAGACCCTCACGAAAGGGGCCCTGACATAGTACTCACTTTTACCTAAGCACTCAATAGATTCCTTCGAGATGCTCGTGGATTCTTTTATCAAGGCCCATGCCGGGGCCAGGAAGGTACATGCTCGAAAGGCTGACATATTCAGAATTGCACAAGTAGAGTCTGAATTGTTGCAGGAATTTGTGACCAGGTTTTGGAAGGAGATGATGCTGCTACCGGTCGTGCTGAACGAATGGGTAGCGGAGGCATTTACTAAAGGGCTGAATATAAGGAGTTCTGACGCTTCCCAAAAATTGAAAGAAAGTTTGCTCAAGTTCCAGGCGACAGCATGGGTAGATGTTCACAACCACTACGAGTCGAAGATAAGAATTAAGGATGACCAACTCGGTTTCTCGACATAAACCAAGGGTCAGGATCGAAAGAAGAATAAGTAAAAGTAGAAGGATGATTTTGACGCAGACCGACGGTCTTCCATAGGTCGATTTTTGCCCTGCGGCCAAAGGACACGACAGAGGTTTTCAGCTGGCAGATAGCGAATAATAGATCGTTGCAAGACAAAGAGGTATTGGGCCCCTGGGACTCTACCTACCCTAGGCTGTCCGAATACAATTTCAACGTTAGTGTAGTGGAACTAGTATTGGCTATGAGAAATATTAAGGAAGCACAATTCCAAGGCTGATGAGATCTAACCCAGTCGGAGGGATCCTAATCTATAGTGCGAGTACCATGGGACCAACGACCATCGGACTGGGGATTACCGACATCTGCACGAGGAGGTGGTGTCATTGCTGAAAAATAGCCATCTTAGAGAATTCTTAAGCGACCGGACTAAGAACAACTACGGACGTAATTAGGATAACGCGGAACCCTTAAAAGAAGGAGAAGATCCCCATCATCTAACAATCAACATGATTTTATGGGGGAACGAGATTAATGGTGTAACCTTTTCGGCAGCAAAAAAGACAAAGGTATATGTGACCCATAGTAAGAGACTCCGAGAAGTCATCGATGACGACATCACCTTCATGGAGGAAGACGCAGATGGACTCCTACTACCGCATAATGATGCCCTGGTAATTTCTCTTCATGTTTTAGAGTTTAAAATTAAACGTGTTTTGGTGGACCTAGAGAGTTCAACCAATATTATCCAATGGAGAGTGCTAGAACAAGCCATGCTGTCAGAAAGCATTGTTCCAGCCACAAAGCTCCTCAGCGGGTTCAATTTAGCAAGCGTGACAACCTGAGGGGAAATTCCGCTGCCCACAAATGTCGAAGGGGTAATAAAGACGACCCTTTTTGAAGTAGTAGATGGCAATATGGGCTACAATATTGTTTTGGGAAGACCATGGCTATATAAGATGAAAGTTGTTCTGCCAACATATCATCAACTTCTAAAATTCCCAACTCCGGGAGGGAATTAAACAAACAAGAGGAGACCAACCGGCAGCAAGGGAGATAAACACGATCTTAGTTTCTAGTAGCAAAGGGAAGGAGCATGCGGCATAGCAATTACAGGAACCGACGCCTGCTCCCGAGCCGAACGAAGTCAACAGGGGGAGGAGTCATCGAAATCGTATCAGGTACCAATATATTTAGATGTACCACAAGAAACATACATAACCAAATCCACAGCGGAAGAACTCGAGCAAGTCGCATTGTTTGAGAAATTCTTGGAGAGGAAGTTCCATTTG